TGCAAAGAAAAAAGAAATAAAAAATGAGAGAAAGCAGCGAACAAACTTGTGCATAACTCAAAAAAGTCTTAATGAATTATGAGTCCAATGTTGCCGGGTCCTCCTGTCTCGTCTGATGTCTCGTCTGCTGCCTCTTGTCTGAAAGCTGCCTGTGGCAGGACCAAAGAAGTTCCTTCAAGGACTCGCTCCGCCTGTGACTGAGTGAGTGAGTGAGTGCGTCTGTGTGCGGCCGATGATGGCTGTGATTACCACAGTTAAGGTAAGCCAGTTGGACGTCTTGATTGTGGTAAACGATTGCATGTCCCGTCCTCGGTTTGGGTTTCGTTTTAATCACAGTTTAAGGTAGGAAAGAGTCGCTATAAAATGGTAAAAGTAGAAGATGATATTTCTTATTGTTTATTTTTCGAGATGTCATAAGTAATACTGGGATTAAATAGCCAAAAGCAATGAGCTGTTGTTATTATTAGAAACTTGTCTCCGTGGAAGTTTGTTTGTTTGATTCCAAACTCTGCTCTTCAACTTCTAATCTGCTTGTTACATAAAGCATTCGGTCATTCAGAGTCGTTGCCTTTTGATCGCTTAACACTTGAATCACTACATTTGCTTACTACCCGCAGGCAGCATAAACAATCGGATCTCCACACACACACTTGCCACCGGAGAACAGTCCATTTGTTTTAATTATTATTGCTATTATTGTCATGCTGACCAACTGAGCAACAATGAGCGGATAGGAGCTGCATGTGGACACTACGTGGACATGGATGTATAGTAAATAACCAGAGTGGAAGCTGCCGGGGAGAGTTGGGCGATAAATAAAATTCCCGAGCATAAAATCTAAACAACCGAAATGAATGTTGCCCTGGCAACAAACCCAGGAATGGCAACAGAAAGCGCCAGCGGAACGAGCAAACAAATAATTCCATGTCACACAATGATGAAAGTTTTGTAATGTTTGATGTCCCCTCTCTCTCTCTGGCAGCTTCAGAAAATTAAGCAATTTAATTTAATAGGTACGGGAAGAGGAGAAAGGGAGGATGGAACTGGAACTGGAGCATATCCTCGGCGCACTCGGCTGCTCCTGCTGTTGCAGGACAATAATTCAACACGTATTTAAATGCATGTCCCCCGGCCCACTGAGCCGCCCACTTCCTCGGCACCGACACCACCAACTGTCTTGCAAATGAAAATTTACTGTGCATGTTGCCCATGCCAGGACCAGACCCAGACCCAGACCCAAACCCAGATCCAGAAATATATATATAGCCAGAGACACAGCTCGGAGTCAGAGAAGGAACAAGAAAATTGTCGTGTGTTCAGAGTACGAAATTCAAGATACCCTGGAAGGAATTATATACTAATTGGTGCTTGAATTCATGAATTATATTTTATAAAAGATTTCCTTATAGAGAGCACAATATTCACCCTTCTCTCAAGATGTTTCTCATTAGGATTTAGTTTGTAGATTTATAGGAAACAAGTTTCACAAGATTAAGCTTAGATTTCTATCTAAGATCAAGTTTTGATCTATTTGTAGTTGATTTTAACAACCATTAAGCATTAATTATTATTATTACATTGTTAAGTCCTCTGAAAATGCAAATACCTTTCGTTAGGGTAAAACCAAAGACCCAACTTCCCCGCCCTGTTCTAAAATATTGTTCATGCCAGTGCCTGGCAGTGTGTGTGTGCGAGTGTTTGGGAAAAAGTTGAGCAAACAACTGGGAACTAGGAACTGCAATTGCACAGAGAGAGAGCGGCCAATCGAAAAGCTAAATCAAAAATGTTTGCTGGCTAGTCCGAGACTCGAAGCAACTAATTTCAGCTTAACCCAGTTTGGCCGCATTTCCACAGCAATTACCGTGCTCGGGGCCTGATCTCTGATTTATGATGCGACGACAACAACTGGCACAACAATACAGCGTTTTTTGGGTTTTGTCATTTAATGCAAGTTGAAGATAAATTATTGCAAACAATTCGGGTCGACGGCGGCTGAGGCCATTGGTATATTGGTTGGCCTGTCAGCGGGGCGGAAATCAGGCAACATCCGCTCCATAAACGGATATCCGGTTGGTTCGCACGTTCACGCTGTGCTGTACTATGTGCCCAGTGTTCAAAAGAACCAAGGGGAGTCGCAGGGGAATATAAACAACTTCAATTTGAGTAACTTTTCGCGCTTCTCCGCCATTTTGTACGAGTTACAATGAAGGTTTAAAGCGAGTGAGTGAGTTGGTAATTAAGTACAGACAACGATTAAAGCAGAGGGAAGTTGGAAAGTTTATCAGAACTTAAAGAACTCAAATTGACTAAGAAATAATCTATCAAAATCATCTCAAGTTTACAAACTTTGATTTTCTAAGGGTTGCAAAAGGATTCCAAGACTCATGCTAAAGAAAATTCCTTAAATATTGTCATTCCTTTGCATTTTTTTGCTCTGCCTGTCACCCTCGCATGTCTAATTCAATTCCAGTGCGATTCCTATTAGGACCGATGTGCTTGAGACGCCCATCGAAGTCACTATACATTCAGTAAGGGATACGCCTTGCGAGTCCTGGCCGCTCCTTTTTCCCTTTCTGCAATCAGCCAAATGGCAAACAAACGCGTTTCGAGATTGACGAAAGACGAGAACAGGACGAAATCGGCTGAGTTATTACGCAAATTTAGCATCTGAATAGAAAATCGAATATTTCAAGTGGCTGGTAATGACATTTCAGATCCTCGAGTGCTTGTCAGTCGGCGGCATTTTTGAGGTAAGCATTTTCACTTCCACTGCCGCACCACCACTGTGGTAATTGAAGCTGGCATGTGATTTATTAACTCAATAATGGCACAGATAGCTCGACAGAGTCCCCACCCATCCGTTTGTTAATGCCAAGAAAAATTGATGCAAATTTTCGCAGAATTCCCGTCGACGCCCCGAACGAAATTCCACTTAAATTCCGCGCATAATTCGATTTGCATTCAAAGAGGGAAATAAGCAAATTTGTATTAATCGAAATGTATTCAACTCGAAGAAGGACGAAAGCCCGCGAGCATATGCCCGGGGTTCGACTCTTTTGTGGTTCGTCTCGTAATTGAAATATTCCAGCAAGGGTGCGGCTCTGACTCAGAATGTCCTGGCTGGGGACACAGGAAAAAACATATAAATCATAAAATGTACATCTTTTTAAAACATTTTAATAACATTTTCTATGTTTTAGGGTTGTAGGTTTCACTCAGTTGGCTGAGTAGTGCGTTTCTTTTGCTTTTAACCATGGAAAAATAATATAATATTCTTCCTGTGTATTATTAGGGAAGCCTGATGTGGATTAGCTGGGGGAAAACCCCTCCATCTGGATGCCGATAATTTATGGATCCTGGCTGGCTCTCTTTGTTGTCTTTGTCACTGCCAACTGGACAATTACACAATAAGCTCTCGGCCTTCTCTCAGATTTGCTGTCTATTTTGGGTTAATTATTTCTGAATGCCAGAGTCTGGCAAAGGCGAAAACATTTCCGCTTCCGCTGTCAGCCGTCGCCATCATCAATCTATATAAATATATATATGTATGTATACGGTGAAGGCATCCTAAAAGCCACCACTACGCTCCAACCCTTTTGTGGGTCTGCCATGCAATATTTCAAATGGAAAGGCTTTTAAGTAGCTGTTGGCATTTTCGATTTACGACAACCAACATGCTCCCTCTATATTGTATTAGCTGCAATAACAGCCATAACTAAGTACACTTCCCAACAGGGCGGGGGCAGCAAGGACAATTGGTTTGCATTGCCGACAGCGAAATCTCCACTTGCCTGCACTTGGGCAAACAAATTACAAATAATTACATGAGAGAGAGGGAGAGAGAGGCCACGACCCGGTGCCTGGCACCTCCCCTGCTCCGACCTGGCACCTGACCACCCACCTGGCCACTAACTGCAGGTGTAAACTGGCCCACTTTGTTGCATGTGTCGCCGGTTGTTAACGTCTGCGGTGCAAGGGGGCAGTTCCGCCTCCCTTTGCAGGCACCTGCTGATGTTGATGACTACCAGGACGATTGTTGTGTTGTTGTGGCTAACTGAAGCTGGCTAACAGTCTCATTGGCAAAAAGGCCTGGGTCAGTCAAGCTAACCTACCACCACCCCATGGTTTCTACAGAGTTCCTGGGGACTGGTAGCCATCTAATCAGAAATGCAATTATAAAGGCAAATGGCATAGCCATCGGTTCAGAGAGGGAACTGTGATAAAGGAGTGTCCTTAAAATGTCACAGGATCCTCAAACAGAGTACTTATGAGAGAGCAGAGATCAGAGTCTAAAGATTACTTACTGAAGAGCACAGGTAAATCATTTTTAAGCAGTTACAGTTAAGAACTTAGTTTCTTAAGCTACAAAATATTTATAAATATATGTTCTTTCCGGAGATGATGAAGAACTCAAGTCAACTTTGTTAAAAGCTCAATGATTGTTTCTTTGCAATATGTAATTCTTTCTTAAAATTAAAATTGAAATTTCAATTAACTTTTGTCCACATTTTCGGTAATAATGCTAAAACTGAAATGTGAAAATTTCCTTTAAGCTTGCAGCAATACAAGTGCGAGTTTAATGTCCTGATGTGTGCCACATTTGCATTGTCTTTTGTTTTGTTTGCGTGATGATGACGACTGTTGTCGTCATAGTCTCCTTGTTGGGCCATTGTCCGGGGATCCGGACTCCGGACTCCGGACCCCGGACCCCGGGACACACGGACTCCGGCCTCATTGTCCGCCCTTTGTTTTTGCGCCTCGCGTGTCTAATAAAGCGCATCACAATGTGGGTCATTGTACGAGGACACAGGCAAGTTTCCAGTTGCCAGTCGGCATCATATGGCTTTGCATTTGTCAGCAGGATGCCACTGCTTACAGCAACAACAAAAAAAGAAAAGAGGAAGTCAGGACACCAGCGAATAAAGCGCTGCTAATTGCAAACACACAAAGACACACATGTGTGTGTACTAATATCTGTAAGTTGCGTGCGTTGGGGAAAAATCTATAGGATCTGTTGTGTGATTTTATGCCTTTAATTTATTTAATAAATCCCGTACAAGACAATATTAGATATAAATATCTAATGGCAAATTTTGCCTCCCCAAGCGGGACCCAAATTAAGTTGGCACCATCGGGCTAAAAGAGAAATTATAATACATTTAAAATTGAGAAAAGTTCAAAAGACATTCGTTCAGGAAGAACTCACAAGGATCTGGTGTTGTTTCATAAGCACTCGCCATGGTCAGCACCACTGCCAATACTGATAAGATGCACTTCATTTTCTATTTTATTTTTCTTTTGTGAGATGCATTTTGCAGGACTTATATAGCCAAAGCATGAGTGAGAAATTTTAAAACAATAATTAAGCATTAAATAAACGTAACATTGTATATGACACACTTCCGTTGCTTTGAACTTTAACCTATAAAGATTTAGAGACGCTCGTATTAGCTTTATTACTTTGCTGATTACCGTAACTCTGGATAATTAAACAGTTTAAGGTATGATTTGCCTTTATCTTTAGCAAGCCGAATACAATTAAAAAACCCTCACATACTTTCAGGCAAATAAGGGAATAAAATGCTTACCCCGAAAGTAGGCAATGTAAAGTATACAGGCACCAGGCACCAAGTATGTAGAATACTTGACAAGGAATATGTAATGTAATATGTACGAATATTTTATTTTAAAGTTTAGAAGAAGTCTAGAGTTCTTATTTAATTAGATCTATATAAGTATATAAGTTCTGCATTTCATTATGATATGAGTTGATGTGGTCATTACGTTTTAAAACCCTGACTAAGGCTAAAACTCTAAATATTAGGACAATAAAAACATATGTAATACGAAAACAAACCATCGAAAGAAGCTCCTTAATTAGCATCTACACAATCCAATAAGGGTTCCTTCCTGAAGTTCCCCCCAACCCAGCTGTAACCCAGAGCTAAAGGCTCCAGAAAATCACCATTCGATGACCACAATATGTCTTCATTGCCCGCCAACTGACAGGAACATGCTGGGGTAATCACCACGCTCGGGGCCATGGAAATCAACGAGGCATTGTTGCACGTTGCACGTTGCATTCGCATTCGCAGTTCGATGGTCCGTCCACCGACCACCGCAGCTGGAGCAGTGAAAGGCCAGCGGAGAAGTCGCAGCTGGTTCCTGCCACGCTCTGCTCTTTTCTGGCCAGCGAACTGCTAACCTGATTCGGTGAGCCTGAAAATCTATCACTTCCTTGGCTCTGCTCTGCTTGGGCGCCTTTCTTTTCGGCCACAGTTTTGCCTACAAAAAAACTAACGCCAAGCAACTTGATTGACCAGCAGCCAATCGCGTTCTGTTTATGAGCATTTTTCTCTTTTATTTTATTTTATGGCAATACTTTCTAAAGGCACTGACAGTGCCCGCAGTTGTTTTATTACAAATTGAAGGAGCCCAGGGGCAAGTGGAATTTGCATATGCCAGAAAGCTTGGGAAAGCTGTTAAGTTTTTATAAATATTATTAAGAAAATAATATAATAATAAATATGTTGCTCATACCATTTGCAGCATATTTTTCGCAACACTATTCTGTACAAATTTTGCATGCTGTAGAAAAGGCAAAAGTTTTGCCACAAAAGTTGCCAGTACAATCGAAGAATAAGTTGCCGCCACGCCCAGTTATACTCTCATTATCTTGGCATGTAATTCCCAGACCAGGACTCGCAGGACCTGCTGTTGCAAGTCTCTCTGTGTGTGTGTATCGTCTCCATCTTCACATGTGTGTCAGTTTTGTCGCTCGCGGACAATGGCAAAAGTTTCTGTTTCGGCTCGATAAAGTATCTGTTAGATACAATTTACAATATTCCTCCCCCTGCGCCCCCTTCGTCCCCCAGTCTCCAGCTTGCCAGGCGAAAGTTTTTGGCAGCAAAGTATGGCTTTAATGATAATGACTTTAGCTCCGGCAGAAAGTAGCGCAAAGTTTAGAATACGCCAACGCAACGCTTTTGGGGATTTTACCCCCAAAAATTCCAAGTGGTTTTGAAGAACTTTTTCCCCGGCACACAGATACGCGAATTAGAACGAGTTCGGCGGAGGATGTGTGTCTGTGTGTGTGTGCGTTAACTTTTCCTACGTGTTGGCCATGTGAAACTGATAAGGCAAAAAGAGGCGGAACCGCTAAGTGGGACAAGGCCAGGCCAGTCTTTTACGGAATTTGAATGGGTTGTAATGCGATATCGCCAAACTCTGGTACCTCGGATGGTATTCCTGTACCTATTGGACCCAAAGATCGTGTCCCAGCATTCGCCAGCGATTTACTTTTATCACAATCGCGGCAACAACTTTGGACAATGTCAGCGATTTATTGCATCAGCTTGCATCCAACTAACTAACAACACGGCGGCCTCAGACACTTGGTTACGTTGTAATCGGCCAGAGCTGGAGCTAAAGCTAGAGCCAGAGCAGTTACAGATACAGATACAGATACGCGGATAGCCAGCGAACTACAAACAAGCATCCTCAGCAGCCCGTAGCTACCAAAAAAACCACCCCCAATTTTCCGTTACCGTCCGGCTCTGCTTCTCTTTGGTTCCCATCAACGCTCAGCTAATCTGCACTGACAGAAAAATCCTATAAGTAGGTCTTATCTAAAGAAACTTTATTGCATTTTAAGCAGGGATTCGGGTAATTTTCCAGGCTCAAGAAAGAGAAATTAAATCCCAACTAAAACAAGCCCTTCATGTCTCAGTTATTTTCCTCTGCGCAGCTTCAGCTTGCTCTAGGGTTCGTTGCTGTTGTCAACTTCTTTGTTGTTGTCGTCATCTCCTCCTCATCAACATCAGCGGCTACGGTCCGCGGAAAAGCCTTCTCCCAGCATCCCAAGCTTCAGCTTCAGACTGCAGTCCCAGGCTGTTAAGAGTTCAACTCGTGATGTTTAAGTGGTTTAAGCCAAGGTAACGATTTCCTCATTGGTCTACAATTCTCCAGTTTTGCTGTTGTTGCCGGCGACATTCTGTCATGCCACGATCACGAACCATTCGTAACACATTTGTTGCAATTTTCGTCGCTATTTGTTAAGGTTCAGGCGGGGTTCAGTGGCGGCCCAAAGGGACCTCCTTCATTTGCTCGGTTGGTTGTAAAATATGTACTAAACAGCAGGATAAAAACGATTGATTGCATTGATTCAGTTGAGGTGTCTGCCGTCTGTTGTTGCATCATCGAAGAACACAAGTTATTGCAACACAAAACGTTAACCAAGTCTGTAAATTATTGGAATCAGCAGCAATGTTTGTTTGCGTAAGATTTTAACAGGAAGGAAAGGTCTAAGTAGGAAAGTATCATAACTAAGCTGGAAATTTATTAATCTCAACGATTTATTCGGTAAATAAATCTGCAAAGTATCTTAACTTAACGCACATATTTAATGTCGCTAAAATCGTGCCTCAAATCGCATTTTAAAGGTGTTAATGGCCGCCTACTAAAGCGGTTATCCTATTTGCACTCGCATTAAATTCACTTCCGTTTTGCCGAGCAGCGACTTCCGCTTTGGCAAGAGAAGAGATAGAGATAGAGAGAGGGAGGACTCGGAAGCAGGCGGGGAAAACAGGTGTAAACTGTGACGCCGCCAACGGGCGACACATTTGGCAGCTATTCAAGTGTGATAACAACAATGTGCCAAAGCCGCTCGAAAGGGACACGGCGTGAGGGAAAACAAAACGGGGCGTGGAAGAGTAAATCAAATTGAATAATTGCCACCACCAGGCTGGGGCACATGGAGATAGAGATGGCGAGATGACGAGATGGTCAGAAGGAGACAGCTGGCAGGGACATATGATCGAGGCAGTGCCAGCAAAAACAACAAACGCAGCACTAACAAGCCTAGGCAACAATAACAATAACAGTGAAAGGACATTGCCATCCGCCATTGGTCAGCCTTTGTTGCAAACACTGAAAGAAATAAGGATTTCATAGCTTACTTGTTAATAATACAATAGAAAGTTAGAAAATCCCTTTAAATTAAACCTAGAGAACCTTTAAAGTCTCTTAAAATCGGGATTTAAGTATAGTAGAAACCAGACTCTCCCGATTTCTTGCAGTGCCTTCTGCCATTCCGCTGCGATGAGATGCGCTGCGATGCGACTTCAATTCAATCAATTGAACGTGCCACGAATGGTTAGCAATAACAAAATACACTCCGGTGGGTTGAAAGGGGCGTTGGTGGCGGAAACAAGGACCATGGACCAAGGACCATGGACCAAGGACCAGGGCCCAGGACCCACCAATCGCAGAGTGAGAAGACCAACTGGCGTGTGAAATTGACAATGCAGCTGCAAAGGAGAGGACACTGGTCGAAAAAAGGGAAACAAAGGGGAAAAATATACGCAAATGTATTTTTTCAAGGCTTGAAATTACAATAAATGCAGCTCTACTAATGTAGGAATATATGTATATATTTTGTCCAGTGCATTGGAAATATTTTTGCACGCGACAAACGACCAACGTGCGGGATTAAGAGCCAGGCACACCTGACACTCGCTCGCCGCTCCATCGTTCCAGTCCGGCTTTACTTCATGAAAATGTCCTGTCCGCGTGTCCTGTCCCCTGTCGGCATGTCTCATTGATTGACTAGGACACACACACACACACACACATCGGAAGGGGACATTTTTGCATAAAACTGAGCTGGCTAAAATCAAGCAAATAAAACTTATTTAGGTTGCAGAGGGCGGCAGATGGATGGACGGGCCAGGAACGACCAGTGATTTTCAATATTTGTGCACGGGCTTGTTGTTGCCCGGCCCATGTGCCATAACAGGTGTTGATATGTTTATACAGTGCCTAATGGAAGGGGCCTTGCGACAAGAGTCGTGTGGTGCGAGGTGCGTGCAATTTGCACAAATTGCTGACAGACCGCACCGCGGATGCGAGATGCGAGATGCGCGAGTGTTCGTGGTGGGATTTGCCTGGTTATCAATTAAACAATTAGCGGGCCATTATTTGGATAGGCTCAGAGAGCGGATCCCACGGGAACCGCTGCAGCTTCCACATTGGAGCGTTTGTCAAATAATTGTCCACCAACCATTGCGATTTTACCATTTCCCCAACCTGTCTATCTGTCTATCTGTTTACCGTTGGCTCTCGGGGGCGTTAAAACCTCTAGATTGCATGACAAGCCTACACATACTACTGCCAGAGAGATGTATCTTAAAGCTTAAGCATGTACCAGTTTATATCTTAAGATATTCCTTAGTTTAAGGGACTAGAACAGATTGATTTTACTGCAAGCTTAACATTTCCAGTAAGACTTACAAGGGTTCCCGAGGCGCGGCT